TGCCTGGACAGAGAATGACCCACTCAGCCTATACTCATCGCATCATGGGAGATTACCTCGATACTATTCTGGTATTTGACAGCTACATTTAATGACATTTCAAGTCTCACTTGAACCCATAATTCTTCTTGGAAGGATTTCGATTTACCTTGGTCAATCACAAAGCCAATGTTGACCATCAGATATGGTTTAAGATATTTTCACTGCGTTTACCATCGAGCTATCAAATAAAAGGCTCACATCCAAAACTTGTAACGGAATTCTCATATTTCGGCAATTCCGCGGACCCCGTGTAAGTCTCCCGCGGAGCACACTTTAAGAAACACTGCTGTACAAAGTTGATGGCGACTTACAGTCTATTGTGACCAGCCAGAGTCAGTTGTTCTCGTGATGAGAATGTTGCTCGTGATGAGAAAGCTGCTAATTATGCGCGTGCACGCCTGTCCAGGTATTGACGACATCCGTCCAAAGACGCTTACTGTGCCGGCTACTATTTTGGCTGAACGTTTGGCCCGTCTGTTCCAGCACTGCGTTGACGAGCAGCACGTTCCTGCAATGTGGAAACAAGGGATAATAACCCACTTTAGAAAGGGGGTAGCCGTTTCGACTCAACTAATTTTCGACCAGTGACTCTACTGCCAGTTCTTTCAAAAGTTACGGAGGCTATCGTTGCGGACGCACTCGTGTCTTATCTGGACGGCTTTGGTTAGATTACTCAGCAGCAACACGGCTTCCGCCAGAATCGGTGGTGCACGACCAATCTATTGTTAGCACGAGACAGCTGGACCGAAACTCTCGACGCTGGTGCAAGAGTTGATGTGGCGTACCTTGATTTCTCTGAGGCATTCGACCCGTTGGACCATCGTAGCCTTCTCGTCAAACTTCAAGGATGTGGCATTGTGGACCCTCTCCTCGGGTGGATCTGCAATTTTCTCTTACACAAGCGTCTGCAGGTGAGAGTACCTGAATCCATGTCTGATCCAAGTTACCACGAATGCGGAGTGTCACAAGGTTCGGTATTGGAACCCCGTCTATTTTTGGTCTTCATAAACGATCAAGAGAGTCAAATTGCGTCAAACTGTTTACGCCGATGACATCAAAGTTTGCAGAGGGATCAAAGCACCAGAAGACCGTATCCAGCTTCAAATCGACCTTGACAAAATTTATAGATAGTCTGTCCAAAGGTGCCTTTTCTTCAATGTGGCTAAATGTCGAGTGCTCCATTTAAGACACCGAATGGTTCACACATATAAGCTGGGGGACCAGGATCTGCAACACTGTTCTTTCGAAAAGAATCTCGGTGTGTTGATCCAAGAAAACCTCGGCTGCTCGGAGCAGTCCGAAAAGCCATCGAAGAAGAGGAGAGCTTTCAGGCAATTCGAACCGTCGATTTTCCGCTTATATACGCCTACCTGTTGTATTTGCAATTCAAGCATGCACCTATGATTAAAGCGGGATCTCACAGTCTTGGAGCTGCCACAAGGTTGGGCGACCAAAACTGTCAAGAGGCTGCGCTACTTGTCAAACGAACGGCGCCTCAGAGTGCTTGGCATTTTCAATGGACCTTATCGCCATTTAGGTGGTGACCTAAGTACGCTTTACCAAATATTAAACAACACTAATCACCCCTGCCATCAACTATTGAAGCTGATTCATAACAGCCAACTGTGAGGTTATCATCTTAAATTGGCAGGACAATACAGTTGGTTGGAGTGTCGAGGAAACTACTTCTCGCTGCGTGTTTGCCACACGTGGCATTACCTCTCAGGAAGCTGTTATTTCAGCCCCCAAGTTAGCCGTGTTCTAAGCACGTGTCGACAGTGCACTGACCACACTACACCATCTCACCTAATCCAAATGATCCATACAAACAGCAGGAAAACAAAAGCAAACCAAGCCACTTTCATTTTTGTCCGGAAACCACAGACGATAATCTTGGATAGTGCATAAAACGGACGGGAGCGCTGCAACCGACAAGTTCGCAAGTTGCATTTGTTCCCTATTTCCTATTGTCATTTTTGACTTAATTTCGCTCACCCCTAACCGATCATCCGGCTGGACATGTCAAGCTTCGGCTTCTTTTATCCACAATATACCGTTGACCGTTACATTCTTTTGAAACAAAGTGCTGCTTTGGTCGGTTTACTTGAGATGCCGAGTATAGTTTACATCAGTTGATTTTTCGTAATTCGATAGAGTTGTACAGAAACCTTTCTACTTGCTCTTAAATACAGTCTCAGTCTCAGTTGTTGTTACCTATGTGACCTCGACACTCCTACTTGAAAAGGAAGAAACGCTTTCACTGATAACACCCCACATGCATAGTAGTTAATTGCAATCGGATCGACACCATCTAATATACCTAATATACCAAATATATGCGAGAGGATTAAGGTGAAAAGCGAATGTACTGGGACTCAGAGAAGAAAGACTGGTCTTTGGAAAAAGTTCTTTCATTGACTCCACCAAAGTTGCACACGCCCTATGCACTTTTGTATTTACCATTCAGTAGCTTGGCACCGTAAGGCATAAACTATAGGTGACTATAAGTACAGCGGATACATTACCACATCATAGCAGTTTCCTGAGGAAAGGTCAGCTGAGTTCAGTGTGGTTTGAGACGGCAATACCGGGGCGTCGATAGGTGCAGTTCAACTGCATGCGTTGACAAAAGCCAGCAGTTTCGATGAAGATAACTCAGCTGTAATGTGCGAAGTTTGGGTTGCCGTATGACGGCTGTATTGTTGAGTTTGCTAGACAGGCAAGCTCTGTGCAATTGTCACCAAAATGTGCGACCTCTGTAACAGTTGTGATGATTTCAAATTGCTAAGCAAAATCAGTTCCCCTTTATTCCTTCGTCCCCTACGAGCGATATGGTCTATGAGTCTTGCAACTCCACTTTTTCATTGGTGAACTACTGACCTCGCATTATTTGTTTGAAGAGAGATTCATTGCATTGCGTGGCAGGATACTGTAAGGTTGCCCAGGTCTAGACAGGAGAACGATTAGGGTTCTCAACCAAAGTCTGTAGTTCAGAAACCTTACCGGAAGGCAGTGGGTTTGGCGTTGGGCTACAAGAAGTCCGTTTTAAGGAATAAGGTGCCAACGTCATTCCAACCCCCAACCTGGAGGACCAGGAGGCTGTGTTTGTCTGGCCTCTAACCATTGACCAATCTGGTATGAGTGGCTCTGAAGGCGCAAAAATGCACCACCCAGCATAGCTTAGTGGATCACTGAGGCACACAAACCATCGCAACACGGTACGGTCCAGCCTCATTGCGATGGGTCAATGAGGCTGCGGCACGGTAGTTGAGGTGTTTCCCAACTCTAGCTAACGTATACAATGATGATGACCACGCATAAACTTATGGGTCGTTAGGTCGTAGGTAAAGTGGTCAATGTTCATTTAATTGTGCAAAAAGTCATACCTTCGCTTTATTTGCGTGTAGTTTATTCCAAATCTTCCCACAGGTTAAAACAAAAATGTTCCTTAGTTGGATTTGTATATCATGCATGGATACAGGTTTGATCAACAATTGCTTAATACTCACAGTGTCTCGCAGCACTCTCCATACGACATGGGATCTGCGCCATTCGCTTCTGAAGGTGCATGTCAACGGAATTTGCTTATCTGAACGATGTCCGCGTTAACCACGCAGATGGGCTGCACTTGAACTTTAACACCCACATACCCTATATGCGGGAGAAATCCGAACGAACACAGCGGGGATCAAAAAGCAGGGATTCAAAGTTTTGAAACTTTCCACTCTGCAACCTATTGAGAACTACTTAAAAGGATGTAAATCTACCCTACTATTTACCCGATGGGGCATGAAAAATTCGGGCCGTTCAAGGATTCACATGCATTACTAGCGTACACGCGTATTTGTGTTCGTTTGCCTCTTGTGGTTACGGTACCTGGTAGTAGCATGAATACAATTATACGTGAGGATGTTCCGTGATAATCAAGATACTTTCCTAATTAAGAAACGATCTTCCGTACGCCGAAGCAGTATTAACGTTTGCACATGTCTCAGCATTTTATAAGGATTTTTGAACTTGTTAGTGCGTCCAATTTCAGTAAGCATTCAAATCGGTGAGTGATTTTCCTGACTCGCACACTACTGGCGCAGAGGCAGGCTGAATGATTCAGTAACCGAAGTTTTCCTTGAAACGATGTCTAGGTACAGACACACTGATAATTGAACTGTATGAAATTCATTGATTCGTCTCCGCATGACTGTAAAACTTTGAAGTGGTTTAGTACGAATATTGCATACCGGTGTTTCGCTATTGTGGTGCTGTTTACGTCGGGTCACGTACACATTGGATTCGCTGACACACTGTGTTGGAACATGGGCTAAATAAACCATAGGTTACAAATGCGTTCGAGCAGTCTAGTGTTATCGCTTTCTGATATTTTCTGAGATCAAGCTCGTGCAGATGGGGTGAGAACGACATGATTATCCCTGGAGTGTTCATTTGTGAGCGGAAGTGATAACTTATTGTGAGGTGTTGGTAAACCTAATGCAAACTAGCTGAGCTCCACCCTTGTCAACAAATTTCTGCCAATGTCTCCTGCATTGTCATTCCATGATGCGCTAGTTACATAAAATAAGCAGCAGCTAAGATGAGGAATGGAAGATAAAGAATAGGGAAGGTTATTCAAATACAGGTTAACCCGGATGCGCGAAAGAAAGTACTGAAAAGAAAATCGAAGTGTGCTGGTGGATATGATCAATCGACGTGGTGTTTCGCGATATCCCGAACAGCTTTCATGCAGGTTATTTGCTTGGAGTCGTTACAGTCTTTATTGTGATTCCGAAAGAGGTCATGGCCAGTGATCCAGAGGTATGTGATCTGGAGTAAGTTGCAAAAAACCTACCTTATTCACCGTCTTGCGTGGAACTAGCAGATGAAGTCGAGATAAAGTAAGAGGAACAATGCGTTATTAAATTAGTATATAAATGAAGGAGATCAATACCAGTTCTTTCCTTTCCATGCCTCAAGCGGTAGAGAAACCTGTCATAACTCTCCGCAACGGCGCTTTGAAAGAGCCTAAAATGAAAGAGCCAGACGAGGTGAAGGTATGTACGACCACCAACACACGAAGTGTTCGCAAATCCGCTTCACCGGAAGCAGTCCAGCCAATGTTCGCTTATGTTCATCTCTACGGCGGAAAGATGTGCAAGAATTTGGGCAGCTGGATTTTTGGTGATGATAGGGAATTTGTTCAAAGCGACTCAAAACCTTCAGAACCCCTGAACGTATGTTCAGGGGCTCTGAAGGATTTTTTCTTCTGCAAAGTTCCACAACCTACGGCATGACACTTAGCGATTGGTTATAATTTGATCTTAGTGAGTTCATGGCTACAGTACGACGATGGGTAATGATATGGCCTTGAGGTAAAATGTACTTCATTTTCCATGTTTCCATAGCTGTCGAGTGTTTTAGGGTCAACTCAAACATTAGTGATCTCAATCTTTAAGATGGTCAGATCGAAGGAAAAGTGAGCTTCGCCATCATTGGTGCGAAGAGACCGTATCCCCATGGTAGAAATATGAAAGAGGTCATCAATGCTGTTGACAGAATTAGTGGTGATGGAACGCTGCACCGAAGAACGTCACCAGTAAATGATTTGAAGGTTTATTTCGTCTTCGTCTAGTCGAACTGATTGTATACGGCTGATAACATAAAACTTGAACCGTTGTACCTGCTCATACGTGAGGCCGACAGATGTGGGCCTAATGAGTAGACCAGAATAATGGACTCGATCGAGATCTTCCTTCGTATCGACAAAGTGCAACCCGGGCCTAGTCTATCTATCCCTATGGTCACTGGAATTCCATCTGTTAATATATAGGGCTTTTGATTTTTAAGTAGGCCCTTGTTAAACTAAGTCAATGAATTTTTTCCTTGACAGAACCTTATTTAGACACTGGTAAAGGTGGGATTCTTCCATACCCGCATTCCATCAGATCTCTTGTAGCGAAAACGACACGACAGGGGGGTAGACGTTTATTACACACCGAAAATGGGCACATCCGAGTCTCACGCGCGCCATCGAATATCGACTAGATTTCCGTCCCACAACGCAACACAGGTACGGATGTTTGAGACGAGCCAGCCCTTTCGCCTCGGGAGCTCTGACTTGGAAGATCCGCCTTCCTGTTTTCGCCTCGATCTCCGCTTCTCTGCACCCGATTTGGATCGGCCAGGAGTCGTTCGAGAGCTCTCGACTTGCTTGTTCTGGGCTGTGTCAATCGGCTCGGCCTCGGTTCGGTGGGCTGCGCTAGCGGCGTATTTGTCTGATTTATTGCGCTGTTCACATATTCCCGCTCCGTAGTTCCGGGCCCAGGCTCGTCGCTAGCCGTCTTTCGCGATCCGCTCTCAGCTAGCTCCGAAGAGCTCCCCAGAGCCATTCTTGGAAGCGGCCCCTCTACACCCGCCCCTCCTCCAGGACCTTTCTTCCTCTCGTACCATGGTCGCAAGAGAGCAGCATTCACCCAACGTTTCATTCCTCCGCAGTCGATTAAGAAGTTGCCCGCTTTCTGGTCGATAATGGTGTAGGGGCCTTTCCAGCGTTCTCTGAACTTGCTTGCGCCCGGCCCGTCATGATCCGGCCGATCGTTGTTCCGTAACTTGACCCGTTCTCCAACCCTGAATGGCCTCCACTTGTGAGCCTCATGCCTGGCGTCTTAATTTCGCTTATTCCGCGCTTGTCGGGCTTTGGTTTCGCTTCTAGCTTTCCATCGCAGTCGCTCTTGATGCTCAGCTGGATGTTTCCACTCACCCTCGTTCGGTAGGCAAGTATCGAGCGCAATCCGTGGTTCTCTGCCGAACAGTAATTCGAATGGCGCGACCTTGGTGGTTGATTGCATGCTGGTCCGATACGCGATCAGAACCTGAGGCAAAGCATCTTCCCATGCCAACTTCGTGCAGTTTATCCACGTCTTCAATGTCCGGTTGAACCGCTCGGTCATCCCGTTGGTTTGTGGGTGGTACGGTGAAGTTCGCCGTCTCTGGATGCCCCACTTGTCCAACACTGACTTAAACGCTCTTGACTCGAAGCAGGGCCCTTGGTCCGTGATGATACACTGTGGGATCCCATACCTTGCAGGCACATTGAATTCGAATACTTGCGACACTGTCTCGCCTGTTTGGTCCTTGATTGGTATGGCTTCCACCCATCGAGTGAAGTGGTCAATCATCACTAGAATGTATCTGTTTCCTGTTCGACTCACTGGTAAGGGCCCAAAGACCTCCAGTCCCCAACACTGAAGTGGCTCACCAACCTCCATCGATCGCATTGGCGGTCTCGGGGACTCCATCTCCCGACTCGTTTGGCAGTTTGGGCACTCCCGAAGGTATGCCGCGACGTCCTTCCTCATGGTTGGCCAAAACACTCGCCTCCGCAGCAATGTAAAGACCCGCTCGAAGCCCATATGGGCGCCATCATGAGTTATGCGCATCACACGTTCTCGCTGATTTGGTGGAACGAAAGGCACTTTCCGTCCGTCTATCGCCACCACCACGTTATCGTTTTCGACCTTCAACCTGTCCCAGATCTTGAGGAGTTCCTCCACCTCCTCCGATGTAGCCTCCGGTTTGGTGCCAGCCCGTAAGTGAGAGCACAACACATTCACGAATTCATCTGTCCTTTGATCTCCCAGCAGGTTCCTCTCCCCCATCGCGATCGCACGCACCGGTATGGCATTGTCTGGCATGATGTCGTCCAAACACGGGCGTGACAACATATCTGGCAATACATTTTGCGTTCCATCTACGTGCTCAGTGGTGAAGTTGAATTCCAGCAATCGGTAGGCCCATCGCGCAAGCCGTCCCAGCGGGTCTTTCGCCGTCATCAACCACGAGAGCGGTTTGTGGTCAGTGACGACCCGGAATTCATTCCCCAGTAAGTAATTTCTCCACTTCTCTAACGCCCACACGATGGCCAAGCATTCTTTCTCCGTTGTTGATTACTTCTGTTCCGTCCCCCGTCAGCACTCTGCTCGCGTACTCCACCACCCCAGCCGGTTGAGACAAAACCGCACCGATGGCCACGTTGCTTGCGTCGACAGCCACCGTGAACCTCTCACCAGGATTGGGTAGCCGTAGACATGTCGGGGCTTCTGCGATGCCTGCCTTTAGATGGTCAAAGGCCTGATCCGCTTCAGCTGTCCACACGAAGGGCACGTCCTTGCGAAGCAGCTTTAACAACGGGCTGACCTTCTCTGCGAACTGGGGCACAAACTTTGAATCATATGCCACCACTCCCAAGAACGAACGGAGCTGACGCTTGGATTTTGGTTTTGCGAAGCACTTGATCGTCTCGCGTTTCTCCGGAAGTGGATGGACTTGACCATTGCCCACGATGTGACCCAAGCATACAATTGACTTTTGGGCAATCTGCGACTTTTTACGACTGAGTTTCAGGCCAGCTTCGTCCAGTCTCTGCAGTACTGCTCCAAGTCTGGTCACATGTTTCTGTTCCGTCTCAGAGAAGACGATGATGTCATCACCATAAACAACCACGCCTTGCAGGTTCGCCAGGACCATCAGCAACAAACGCCTGAATGTAGCTGGGGCGTTGCACAATCCAAACGGCATTCTCAAAAACTCATACTGCTGGCCATTGACACTGAAAGCCGTCTTGTGGCGATCTTCTTCTGCGATCGGCAGTTGCCAATATCCCGAGCGGAGATCAATCAGAGATATCTGCTTGGCACTGCGAAGGCTTGAGAAAATTTCTTCCATCTGAGGCATCGGGAATGCATCCTTCACAGTCACCCTGTTTAGTTCTCTGAAATCGATGCAAAATCGATAGGTTCCGTCGGCCTTCTTCATCAATAGCACGGGTGATGAATACGGGCTGTGCGTTCGCCTGATGATTCCTTTCGATTCCATCTCGGTCACCTGCTTCTGTATCTCCACCAGGGTGTTCTGTGGAATTCGTCTGAAGATTGGCTTGCATTGTCCTCCTGGGATCAACGGTATTCGGTGTTCAACCCAATTGCAAAATCCGTAATCATCTTCCGCGTCTTGAATAAGTGGGCATACCTGCTCAGTACGTTGCGTATTGCACGGTTCTGACACTCAGGCACGGCTTTGAGTGCACCAATCCGGTCGGTTCTCCCCTTGTTTATCTCGATCGTCTCGTTAGCCACGATCACCACATCGTTTTTCAGGTCAATTGTGACACCGAGCCGCTTCAGGATGTCGGTTCCGATGATGGTTTCGGTTGTCTCCTCCACGATGAACATGTCATGGCGGATGAGCGTTTCTCCTATCTTGATTCGTAACCGCTGCGTGCCCGTCACTTTCAAAGAATGCCCGCCGACCGTCTCCATCGTGATTGATGGTGGGTTTACTGGAACCCCGTTGAACTTCTTTGTAATTGACACTGCCGCTCCTGTGTCTACTATGGCTCGGACAGACACACCTTCTATAGTTACCTGGAGGACTGGTACTCGCCACCGACTCGGCATGGATAGAGAAAAACAATGGGGCACATTGACGTTGGTGCAGAATCTCGCCACATGACCATTCTGGTTGCATCGGAAACAGCGGCGACCGTTCCGGATTACCCGTACATTGCGTTGTGAAGCGGTGCTTGACGACTCTATCGACAACAGCTGCTCCACCATTTCGGATAGGCGCTTTACTTTCTGTTCCAACTCAGCATGCTGGATGCTTCTCACTATCACTCGTTCTGACAAATTCTGGGCGACCGTCACCAGATCCACCGGTTTGCTGTCTCCCACCATCGACGCCAATCTCACCTGATCACGGAGTGGATCGGGCAGACTTCGGATAAACTGCTGTTTCAGTAGGCGCTCTCTTGCGTTGCCCTCTAACTCGGGGATCCCCATCGTCAGATGTCTGTCCAGCTGCTGGAAAAACACCATCAAATTCTCCTGTTCCTCACATCTGGCTGCGTGAAATCGTTGCAGTGCTCGTTCTCTCTCCGGATCCTTCCCAAATTCTGTACACAAGGCAGCCCTCATCTCAGCGAACGAACAACCGGGTTTGGCCTTTCGAGTGAGCAGATACACCACCTTGGCTCGTCCACTCAACCGTGTGCCCAAAGCAATTAGCAAATTTGCATCCCCCCTCACCCCCGTGCAAGCCGCAATTCCGTCGAACTCATCGAGCCACGCCTCCACGTCACTGGCCGCAAATTGCTCTAACTGGGTCAACTCCATCACTATTGGTCAAGGCACCAGTGTAGCGAAAACGACACGACAGGGGGGTAGACGTTTATTACACACCGAAAATGGGCACATCCGAGTCTCACGCGCGCCATCGAATATCGACTAGATTTCCG